AAGATAGTCACTATCTGCCAAAGCTGCAGCACAAGGAAGGGAAAAATACCGTGATTAAACATAATAAGACTCCACTTGAAATGTAAAGTACTCTGGAACAAATTCTGCCAGCTCACTTAAGAACTGGAAAACAGGAAGGAGCAGACTCTGCAGTGAAGCCCATCCCAGAGGGAAAACACAGCAGCAGGGAATTAGATGCTGCTCCCCAGTCCCCTCATGGTGCTGCTGAGCACTTTTTGTCACCTGCTTTTGAGGTGCAGCAGGTTCACTCCTAAATTCTGCTCCCGCTGCAGGACTTGTTGAATTTTGGGCCGGTCACAGGTACCTGTTGTCCAAGTTTAACACTGCCATCCTTCCACAGGCTTTCCCATGGTGGCACTGCTGCCCAAGTGCGTCCTGTCAATACTATTTTCTGATATTTTCCAACGTTACAGTCCTTCCACAGCTGAGATGAGCTCAGCAAGAGACAGAAGAATGATGAGCTTGCACTGCCACTTCATGGGTTCCTCCCTGCAGCTGTAAGCACTGAGCATAGTCTTGTTAGAAGGGGACAAGGGGCTCTCCTTATCCCATTCCATGTGGGATCTCAGGCTGCATGAAGCTCACTCAGGAGGAAACACGCTCTCAGGTGATGTGTTCCCATCACAAGCACGAGTTCACAAGTAAAAAGAAGCAGTTTTGGCTCATAGCCTCTTGAATGTCTTTGCACTTGGGAGTTAGTGCTGAACCCTTCCTAACCCTTCAGCTGGAGCTCGTACTGCATAGTTTGAAACTCGACTTTCAACTTGCAGCCACCATTTGCATGCATGTACCTTCAAAGAATGGCATCGGATTTGCAACTCCGTGTTGTAATGAGAGGCTAATTAACACAAATATGGCTTATTAGCAAGTTGCAGATACTTAAAGGACGAACCCAGCAGGCCAGAGCCTGTGACGTCCTGCGTGCCAGGGAGGGAGAACCTCAGGGGTGAGCTGGTACCAGCCAAGGCTGTGCCACCAACTCCAGCACCACAGGCAGATGGCTCCACAGCTCGCTTTCCCCTTCTGCAGTGGGAGAGTGAGACTCATTTACTTTGCTTTGGGTAGTCCTCCAGCTTAATTAAATCGTTACCTTTAAATTAAAGGCACTACAGAAATGCCAGGAAGTAGCGTCTGAATTAGAAGGTGGAGGTGACACCCTAATGAAGCAACAGTGTTTTCATCGTCAACAGCAAAAGGTCACCCGTGGAATAATTGTGAAACCGCATTCCAAGCTTCTGAGGGGAAGATGACTTTTCCCAAAACTTCATTAAGGAGGAAGAGACGTCCCAGCATGGCCAGGTGGCTGAAATGCTGCAGGTTCACAGGCAAACCTGCAGTGGTTTCACTGCTGCTTGTTCTCCCTTGCCCTCACCCTTCGCTTTCCCAACAGCAGCAAAAATATCACAGCTCTTGAAAGAATGCTTTTTCCACAGGCAACTGTTTTCAGGATGATCACAGACCTATTAAGAAAATTGCAGGGGATCATTTCCCTTCATGTTGGTAATGCTCAGCACAGTTTTCAGTCTTTCCTTTCCAAAAGCCACAGTGGAGGCCCTTCCACTTTTTGTCTGGGACAGCTCCTCCCAAATATCATTATATTTTAACATAGTCCACATACAGTGGAAATTCCCAACCCTGGGTAAAAATAAGGACATGACTGAAATACCCACTACTACAGTGCAGGCTTTTTAAAGTCCTGGAATAAACTTAAACCATAAGAAACAGGCCAGTCCTTGGTGGAGGCCCAGTTTCACCACGTATTCCCAAAAAAGCTGCAATTTAGAGAGTCAGGTGTGAAAGTACACCCAAGTTCTGTCCCAGATGCCAAAAGTCACATCCCCTCCTAAACTCATTCAGTCCATAGTGGGGAGTCATTAAACCAAACCCAGGAGAACCCAGGCAGCCACTTCCTCGTGGGCTGCACCTGCAAAAAGCTCACCCAAGAACAACTCATTGTGCACAGTGTCCTTGTGCCCAGAGTATCAGCACCGCAAAACACCACAGTTGCTGTTTACTTCTGAGCAATGCAAAAGCTTTTGTTTTTAAGTAAAGCAAGACATGCTATAGCAGAGGTCAGCCCACTTCTTTCTATTACATAAGGTGCTCCTGCATTGACTGGAGATGTATTACCCAGCTTCTGTGTGGAGATGTTAAAAAACAGTGGAAGATATCCAGGGAACTACATTTGGAACAAGTAACTCTCTATATGATCTTTTTTCCTGGTGACTAAACATATACTAAATATATACTTGCATACCCTTGTTATATATATATATATATATATATATATATATATATATATATATATATATATACACACACACACTAAATATTTACTTTTTCTTATACTTGCATTTATTTTTAGAAGGCCAAAACCACTGCAATCAAGTTCTCAGGTAAGAGAAGTTGTAGTACAGTGCCCATACACCTGGATTCTCTGTTTGCTTTTATCCGTCTGTCAGCTGCCTACTAATTGCTTTTGAGGCCACTGACCTGCTTTTGACTAAATTTGACGGCAGGAAGAAGTCCCAAAGCTCCCAACACTTCCATTTAAAAAAAAAAAAAAGTTGGGTAGAGGCGAGACTCTCGTAAGACAAGAAGAGAAAGGTTAATGACAAAGGTCAACTCCTATTTGACGTCAGAGAACCCACAGGAGGGATCACCCTAGAGACACAAATCCTCAGGAACCAGTTTCCATTTGGTACTGATGCTCTTTTAACACTTTGTTTCAAATAGAGCTGGAACCAGAAATTAACTCCAGTTCTCACAACAGTTCACTGGCCTCAGGTAAATCATCACTTCTGATGCTACTTCCCCTGCCATAATGTGGCTGGTGTTAAAATCCCTTATTACGTTGCTGCAACAATTCATATTTGAAATGTACTTTGAAGGTCTGGAGAGTTGTATTCACTAATTATTACCTGTCTTGAGACATGAGCTGAATATTCAAAGTGCCAGCTTGATTCATCTGCAAATGCACATCACATAAGCATGTGGTATGCACTAGGACTCAAAATACAAAAGCAAAGATTGCTTTCAGAGAAGACTTTATAATCAGGTCAGTTTTGAGCTCAAAACATATAATTTTTATTACCACAGCTCTCCCATTAGACTGGATTTAAATTATCCCATGTTTGGGATTAGCACTTTATAATAAACACCGGTTCAAAAAGTAAATACCAATTGACAGAAGACAAAAAGGCCATGCAAAGTTTGATTCTGTCCCCAGAGGCAAGTCTGATGTCTGAGATCTCAAACCTTTGATAGCAGGCTGGGTGCTAGCAGATAAGATCCACAGGGCAGTTCTTGAGCACTGCAAAGGCAGAGTTTACCCTGCCAGCACTGGCAGTCACGGCACTGGGGCTGGCAATGCCACACTGCAGCAGGCAGGCATTTTCATCTTCTGCTTGGTCAGGCACTTTCCAGCCTTCCCAGAAAAGATGCTGCTTTCGGTTCTCGCAGGCGGAAAAATCAGATGACAGAGGTCTTGCTGAAGGTGCTACAGCAAAGAGATGAACTAGATAGTGATTTATGGGGATTTTTAAGCATGCACGAGGGGGAAATAGCTTCCCAAAGAGGAAACTTTCCGTGCATTAAAGGAAAATGGTGCTTTGTAGTAAAACTCTCTGCTAGAGAGGTTCCTATTTGAGAGGAAGGGAGCAAACTACAATTTCCTTCAGTAATAACAGGTTAACCTTGTATCTTCAAGCTTCCTCCTGGAGCAGACTGACTACCAGCCGAGCACTCAATACCTCCCAATACTGGCCTTTACATTTCCTGAAGGAGCAAGCCCTGTCTGCAAATAATAATAATAATAATACAAAAAGCCACAACAGTGCCAGCTAAATTTTCCTTCTAATCCTCCCCATCTCCCTACTCCAGACAAAACAAATACAACCTGGCCAACTTATTCTGACAACAGTGACTAGATTTATGTCCCTTGCACTCTATCACTGCCCTACAAACATACATTATTTTAATGCAGCATAAACAAATATCTGATTTGCTTAACGCCACATCGAGTCCTAGTGATTAAAACATATATATGCATAGAGCAAAATTTATACATGCACAAATCCCTTTATAAGCTCTGAAGATAAAATTATCAGTATTGCCAAACACAGAATATGCATTGTATTCTAATGACATGAGACAGTTGATTACCAAGAAGCCTACTTCGTTTCTAATCAGGGAAAGTTTAGCGATGATCTCCTTCCCTGCTGGGAAGAAACGAACGAGGAGCCCTCTCTAGGGATGGCACAGTAAACATCCCAATGCACATTTATTTCGGAGCCGAGCCTCATAGTAGTAGTACCCACTGAGGCACGCTGCGCTTCACGCAGTGCTGCTCGTCACGCATCCCTCAACGCATGATTTTAAAGTGTTTACCTCCAGAAAACCGAGCTTTGCAAAGTGCATTGCAGCTGCCTGGCGGCTCCTCCCGCACCCGCTCCCGCCAGCTCTGCTGTCACCTGCCCGGGAGTTCTGCAGGGAAGGGACCCTCCTTGGCACAGGGCTGAAGGACAGCCGGGTTGTTCCAGGCGCTCCGCAGAAACAAAGCGAAGGGCGATCCGCCTCGCTGCGGTTTTCACCCCCGAACACACACACACACACACACACACTCGCATCCCCGTTTCATACAGCCCGTGTGTCCCCGCGGCCGCACCTGTCACCCTGCGCCGGGATCGATAACGCGTCTGCCACCGCCCCCCGAACATCCCCGAGCACCCTCTGCCCGCCGCCGCTCCCTCCCGAACCCCGCCGGCTCCGCCATCCAGCCCGCAACGAACAAAGGACTCTCCCCTTATTTTCGATAAAATTCGCACAAACTAGAGAACAATACCGGAGGGGCCGCACAATGGGCACCGCATCCCTCCCGCCGTCCCCGCTCCATCCCCGCCGCCCACCCCGCGCCGGGACAGCCCCGGGCACGGCGGCGGCCGCCCCCGGGGACGGGCAGGGCGGGGGGCTGCGCTCACCTGCCACCGTGTACCGGTCCAGGTAGTTGAGCACGTTGCCCACGCTGAGGATGCCGGCGGCCGCCACCCGGGCCCGGCCGAGGCTCGGCGCCTTGCGGAGGGCGGCGGGGCGGTCGGGGTGCTTGCCGCCCGCCGGCGGGTTCATCCTGCCCGACAGGGTCTGCACCTCGCCCTCCGCGCCCCGGCCGCAGCAGCCCCGCTCGCCGTCCTCCTCCTCCTCCTCGTCGCCGGCTCGCAGCCGCCCGCCGCAGCCCGGGCTGCTGCCGGAGGAGCCGTCGCTTTCCAGGCACATCATGGGCTGCGGGAGCGGGATCTCGGCGCGCGGGGTGAGTGACTGAGTGACGGGCGGAGGGACGGACAGACCGACGGACAGCGGAGCGCTCAGCGCCGCATCCCCGCGGCCGCCCCGAGCCTGCCCGGGACCGGCCGCCTCTGACAGCGGGGGCGGGGCGGGGCCGGGGGGGGCGTGTCCCGGGCAGGCTCCGCCCTCCAGACCCCCTGCCCCGCCCGCCGCGCGCGCCCCGCCCCGCCGGCCCCGAGGGGTCCGTCAGACCCGCCCCGGGCGGCACCGCGGGGCGGCTCCTGGGCCGGGCACAGATCGAGTCTTTGGGGGTCTTCTCAGTCCGCCTCAGCGCGGCCCCTCAGCAGCCTGGTTCGGGAGGGGTTCTCAGCTGTGTTCAGACCGGCCCCGACAGTGTCCCCTCAGCCGTCCGCAGCCGTCCACAGACCGGCCCTTAAGGGGGTCCCCTCAGGGCGGCTCTTCAGCCGCCCCTCAGCTCCCCACAGACCGGCCCTTACGGGGGTCCCTCAGCCCGCCTCAGACCAAGCATGAGGAGGTCCCCTCAGCCCGCCTGAGGGCGGCCCCACTCAGCTCCTCTCTCAGCCCGCCCCAGCTGCCCTGAGGGGGGTCCGTTCCCCCGCCTCTGGACGGCCCCTCAGCCCGGCCCTGAGAGAATTCCCCCTCAGGTCACCTCAGACCAGCCATGAAGGCGGTTCTTCAGCACCTCAGCCCGGTCATGTGGGGGTCCCCCCTCAGCTCACCTCAGACCAGCCATGAAGGAGGTTCTTCAGCAGCCTCAGCCCGGCCCCAAAGGGAGTTCCCCCCTCAGCTCACCTCAGACCAGCCATGAAGGCAGTTCCTCAGCCGGGCCATGACGGGATCCCCACATTCTGCCTCAGCCTGGCTCTCAGGTGGTCCCTTCAGACCGGCCACGAGGGGTTCCCCCTCAGCCCGTGTCAGACCAGCCATGAAGGCGGTTCCTCAGCTCACCTCAGCCCGGCCCTGAGGGCATCCCCCCTCAGCTCACCTCAGCCCGGCCCTGAGGGCATCCCCCCTCAGCTCACCTCAGCCCGGCCCTGAGGGCATTACTCCCTCAGCCTGGCCCTTAAGCCCGGGGGCGGCCGGGTCTTGCCTGCCCACCAATCACCAGCACAGTGGGACCAAGTAATGACTTCCCTTTATCTATCTGTATTATTCTACAGGCTGCACAGCGGGCTTCAAACACACCGATGGGCAGAACTGTGTAGTTACCTGGAAAAAACCAAAAACTCTCCTTGCCTACTCCGAGCGCCCAGAGCTGTCTCCAGGCACAGGGGCTGTCAGGGAAGGGATGATCTGAGGCAAGGCAAGGGCTCCCTGGAATGTGCCACCAACCTGGCAGCTCCCTGCCTGGCCCCAGACGATTTTCCTATTGCACAGAAGTAGCTTCAGGAACAACACCCATCTTCAAAGGAAGTAAAATTGCACCAGAGTTCCCCCCACTGCAAACAGTTCCATCCCGCTCCCTATAAAGTTCCACCTTTGAGCTAAGAACGGCCAAGAGACTTTTCATTTCAAAAGGAGGAGTCTTCAAAGAGATAAAAGTGTTCACAACCAGAGTGGCTCCAGCCTGTCGTACCTGTCGTAAAACTACAAAAGGTAACTAAAAACAGAGAAATAAAACGACTGCTGGAGAGCCAACGCGCTCTTGTCCAAGAACAGGACGTTAGGATTTCGGATTTCTCTCAGTCTGTTGATTTTACCTGAGAAAATGTGTCATGATTAAAGCCTTTGTCTCCGGGATACACATTTAAACAAACCCCCATCGCCTTCCTCTGAGGAACGTGGAGCTCTCCCAGCACAGCCCGTGTGTGTGCTCAGCATACCTGGCTGTGCCACACCCCGCCAGCGATGACACCAGGGACAGACTATGCCAGAAATCTGGAGAGATACCACCGAGGGAACCCCCGGGATGCTGCCGGGGGTAAAAGGGCACTTTTTGATGACTCAGCAGCAATTCAGGGCTGTTTGAGCAAGGCCACTGAGGAGAGGAGCAAACACCCTTCCTGGTGACGTGTGACACTCCCTAGTGGTGAGTGACATTTTATTGCTGAGAGTGGGTCTGCACAGACGTTCCAGAGTTCATTTCAGTGACAGAAACAACATATCTGGATTAATGATAATGTTCAGGTTGACTTGTTGAAGTCTAGGGGAATAATTCTTTACTCCACAGCAGCATCTGCAGTTCAGATGTGACTGACTGTGTGGGAGAGGTTACACTGGCAAAGCTGCTTATTCAGATCCCCACTAATTCCACTATTCTAGGGGTGTACGTGATTTGGTCAAGTGACAGTGCTCACCCAGAGTATTATATGGCCCAAAAGGAAACAAAAACCAAAACCAAACCAAAAACCCAACAGAAAACAGCAGAATTAAAAAGAAGGAAAGGGAAAAAATAAGGGAAAAAATGAAGGAAAGGGGGAAAAGGAGTGAAATGGCTTCACAGGGACCACCCAACTTGCCCAGCAGTGGAGGCAAAACTCACATGTTCTTTAAGCCAGACATATCAGGTGTTAAACAGGGCTGAACTGCAGGTTCAAGGAGCTCCCCAGAGCACAGCCATAGTGTCCAGGAGCCCTCAGATACATATGGTCTGAGGCACTGTCTGTTCTACTCTTTTTTTCACTGCAAGGGCTACCCCTGGGCTCTGCACACAGAGAGCAATGTTCAGAAGATGTTAATGAGATTGAAAGGCAAAGCAGAATTAAAGACCTTAGTCTTATGGATCAAGTGGTTCTCCTGAAAGAAGCTAAAAAGCAGAGTTTTCTTGGGGAGCTGAAGTTTAATTTAATTTCTTTCCCTTTAACCAGTACCAAGCACAAAAACAGAGGTGGCACTGAAGCCAAGGTGGTTTACTGTATGTTAAATTAACTGCCTAAGAAGGCTAGGGAGTGACTTCTCCAAGACCCTTTGATCCAGCAAAAACCCCCAAAAAGAAAAACCATCCCAAACACCAACTTAAGGTCAGTGCATATGCTCCAAAGCTCGGGCAGGCTTCTGATGGCCCCTGAACATGGAGCAATGCAGGACCAAGGTCGCACGAGCATCCTTTTATTTCTGACACAGAGAGGAGTTTCAGCTCAGAGACATCCACAGACACAGCACAAAGAGGCACAGTGAGTTACAGGGACACACAGGGTCTTGCAGCCAACCCTTACACCTTCAGCTGTACATGGAAAACACAAACACAGCAGATGCCGGTGCATCCATGTAATGAGATTTATATAAAGGAAAAGCAGAGGGAACTGGAAAAAACGTGACAGAATTGTCTTTAGTGGCAGGATGAATCATATGACTGAACTGCTAAAATCACTGGTTACCACCTCTTAAGAGGAACTGTGGATTGTAGCTCAGAGACATTTGCTGGGTTTGGCTGTTACAGGTTGTTGAGAGGCAATTTGATTACAGTGTGCAAGTTCTAACATGGGGAGAAAAATGCCAGTTTTAAGAGCTCTAATCAAGAGAGGAAAGGCATAGCAAGAACCAGAACAATGGCTGAGAGTTGGAGTTAGAAAAATCCTAATGAATCATCTGGTTCACATTTGTTACAGAATGATTATCCTCTGGAACAAAATGCTACAGAAGGGGTGTATTCTCTATCCCTCTATCTCCTTCAGTCCAGGTTGATTGCCTTTCTAGAAGATGCATTCTTGAATTCAACATGAGCTGCTGCACTCCCTGCAGAGAGAATGGGGTGTAATTTCATGAGACAGGAGGTCAGGCTGGGTGGGTTAAAGTCCCAAACCTGAAGAGATGAGTTCTTACTCTGCTTACCAAGCACCCAATGTTTTCTGCACCCACTTCATTTGCTAGATTGATCTGAGCCCCTGGGAAAGCACATTACACCGAGCTGGTCTTGAAATGGTGGTTACAAAAGAGGAGTGTCCCCACAGCCCTGGTGAGGAAGGTGGATGGCATCTTCCCAGGCACTGGGGATGCTGTGTCTGTCAAAAGCTAGGAAGCTCCCTCACACTGGGATCACCATCAGGATGTGCGTGGATACCATGAAAACCAAATCTGAACTTAGGTAGCTCGTCCTTCTGCTTCTTCCAGGTTAAGCAGGTCATCTCTGCTCCTGAAGGAGCTCTGACCAGTCTCTGCACATTCCAGCTCACAGGCATTAGAAGGGCTAAGAGAATCAGCAGAGAAGTGACACAGCCTTGTGCGTGTCCCTGAAAGCCCCTCAGCCCACACCCCATCACCGTCTGGTCCCAGTGGCCACAAACACAACGCACTGTGTGGGTGACACCAAAGGACAGCAAGCACAGGTCCTTAACCAGGCTCTGCTGAGGGAACTTGCAGGCACCTGGCTGCATATTCAGTGAGGAAGGAGCACACTCAGTTGTTAGTGGCCCTGCTCTCTCCCAGTGCAGTCAGCAGAGCTTATCCCTTCAGGGATTATTTTCTTCCTTTCATTATTTTGTTAGTGTCTTAAAAGCTTGAAAATGTTTATTTTAGTTTATCCCAGTCTGCACTTATTGATTTTCCCTCGCCTCCGGAGTTCTAGAGGGGGTCAGTGTGAGCAGAAACGCTGCTGGTTGACAACAGCTATAACTTACTTTGGAGCAAAAAAAACCCACATTTGCCAGTGCACCAATATTCCAGTGTCACAGCCCAGCCAGTCCATGGGCCAGACCTGGCCTGCAGGAAGCTTCTGACCATCCTCCCACCTTCTGTCCCCTCTGTTTGCAGAGGGGAATAGGGGCTTGAACCACCCACAGAAGGTAAAACCCAGATGTGAGTCCTGTTTTTAATCAGGCTGGACCTTACCTAGTCCTAGCAGTTACTACAGCTGAGGAACTGGACAATCAAGAGGACATCACATGGGTGTTTTGGAAAAAAATGGAAATTATCTCTAACCCAGCCTATTTAAAATCCAGATTTCTTCTTCAGCTCATAAATGCCTGGGAAAAAAACGCCACTTTTTGTACTTCAGCAAGTCACAATAATAATAACCATAACTGTCAAAGGTCTGGAGTCTCCCCAAAGTAAGGTTTTGTCAAAATGTGCACCAGTGTAGCCACTGCCATTATCAGGAGCAGTGACTGCCTTCAATAATCTAACATGTTCAGCTGTAAATAATTATGACTCAAA